GTTCGTATCATCAACAGCACTCGAACACGATCTTTGGCCAACTTTAAAATGGAGTTATAGGCGTTCAAATCGATCTTTATTTGACATCCACTTATGATAGTTACCTTTGTTAAGTTTTCTGCATATTTCAGAGCTGCTTGAATCCGCTGGATGGTGATGTCATTGCATTCAATTCGAATTTGTTCCAAATATTGCATTTCCTTTGCAAAAGTTATGAAAATTTCATCCGAAACATTGCCAACATTCAGTTTTTTCAACGATTTCAATTTCAAAATGCTTTCAGCCAAATCATCAACATATCTACTTATGGTCAAATCTTCTAAAGGCACTTCATTCTCAACCAATAGATCAAATAATAATTTCGCTGCGAATTTCGGACAATTTATTTCCAAACACTTCAATTTCCGCAGTTCCCCAATCTGCAGCATATCGCCGGGCTCTAAAAATGGACTAAAGAACATCACATGCAAAATGAGGAGACTCGGAACACTCTTGCCAATGTTCCGCAGAACTGATGATGATATTCGTTTGCAACCTTCGAGTTTGAATCGCTTCAATTGTGGATTTCGATTTAAAAACTCCACTAACATGTCATCGGTGAAACCGTGCACATTAACAAATTCGACTTCTTGAAGTTTTGGATTCGTTTGAGTAAATAATGAATCGAAATGCAACACTTTTACAAGTTTTAATTTCAAAACTTCAAGCTGTGGCTGAATTTTGAAGTTGCTGATTAAGCTCGTTTCAATTTCCAATTTTTTTAGGGCTTTAAATTGAATTTGAGCAGTGAAATCAATGTTATGGTGAATTATTACCAATTCCAATGAATTTTTGCCACAAAAATCCGCAATCATATTGAAAATATGGCCATCTAAGTCTCGGTACGTTGTATTCCATCGAATTGCTTTAATCAAATGCCCAAAAATACTCACATAACTCTTCAAACGTTCCACCGGAATCGCGTCCGAAAACGTTTGACCATCACAAATACAGATGGTTTTGAATGGCAATGGATAACATTGAATTGCATTCTCTTGAAATTGTGTGCACACCTCAGCTGCACTTAGAAAATCTCGTGCGTTTGATAAGCGACGCAAAACTTCTTGGATACAGTCGTCGTTGAGAGAGTTCAATATGTGATTCGGTGAATCTTGTGCTGGACATCCGTGACAGTCATTTGTTGTGTTGAGAGCATAAGAGGTTGTATGGTCTTTTGGCGGTTCAAACTGGGAATTCACGTCCATTGTTAAATTATTCAAGAAACGACTGCTGCCCTATGAACCACTTTCGTTTTCGTATGATTTCTGGCTGCTTTGAGTTCTTCGCAGTATTTTGAACGAGATTTTCAAGCTTTTTATGCGGCACAACAAAACAATGTTGCTATTGATTTTTTTCCCCTTAACGGTGAAATGGGAAGTAATTGGATTATTAGTTGACTCAAATGCCATCGAAACAATCGATAAGAAGTAGCATTGATTGTACGCCCTGGAAAAGAACGAAATCAATAATTCCAAACAAATTTATTCAAAAAATTATAGAAAAAGACACTATTTTTTATTCAAAATAATAATTTGGAATTTTCTTCAAAACTTGCCCAATGAACCGAAATAAAAATCTTACCTTGAAATAAATTGTTTCACTGCAAACCTTCTTAGCTACTAAAACGAATAAGTGAAATGAATTTTTACTGAATACAACCTGTGACAAACTTTGTACACAAAGTGACATATATATACACACATATGTACATGTACCTACTACATGTATTACTAAATGTATTTGAAGTGACAACAAAATGTGCTTCCACACAAACATAAAGAAATTTGTTGGGGTGTACGTGTGTAACTATTGATGTGTATTATTGTGTTATGTGTGTCATTTCGTTCGGTGTGTTCATGTTTATGGTGACTTACGGTAAATTATTCTTTTATCAATTTATATTGAAAATATTGTAAGGGTTTTCCACTCTAATTAATACTTTTTTCATAGAAACTGATGAAAAATGTGATATTTCATGGCTGGTGCCCATCAGCAGGTAATCCAATTGTTGGGAAATTCTGAGTTGAACAAACTTCGTACCACAAATGACATATCAAATGTGTAAAATTCAAATTTATTCCCTTTACAATCTATTTAAATCGAATTTTGGATTTTCCGTGTGAGTTGAAAGCGAGGATAAAATGTTCTGTGTGGCTCAAGTTGAATCGCTGACCACAATCGATTTACGTCGCCTCAATGTGCAAAATAATGGCACAGTGAAATAGTAGATCAATTCAACGATACTCAGCCCTGAAACACCCATGAACAAACCTAAAAGTCCTCCAAGGCTCGCCATGAAATCAGCCATTGTCAAAGTCTCCGTTTGTTTGAGTGCAATTGTGTTTGTTTGAATGATACTGCCCCTAGTGTTAACACTGGATATGGGGATATCAATGGTTTATAGAATTCAATTGTTGATGAATAATATTTGAGTCATAATGACTCAATCATTTGGGTTCTCAGTTTAAAATTGTTCTATGTTTACCCCTCCTTCAATTCCCGAATATTTTTCCATCGTTTGAACCTGTGATGTCTCCGTATCATAAATAATTGAAACGCAATCCCGCAAGCAATCACATTTGTTGACCTCAAAATTCGCAGAGCAATTAATGCCAGCCTCGGTATAACAATCCGAATCATCCATTGTACAAATGTTTCTACCAGCTTCGCCTGCGGAAACGAAGAAGTAAAAGCATAAAAATCAAATGATTTTGACCCAGTTCTTCTTAAGAAGATATAACTTTTCCGTACACACCGTGTCAAGGGAAAGTACCTATATAGGAATTGGTCCCGAAAACTTTTTTTTGCAAAATTAGCTAAGATCATCATTAAAATTCATGAAACGCGTAGAAAACCACTTTTTGAGACACTTTTCCGTTCGTGTGCCGTCGTCGTTGTCATCGTCGTCGTTAGTGTTTGTTAACACGATAACTCAGAAAACAATTGAGATAATCAAAATCTGGAAATGCCAAAAGTTTTGTATCCAAAAAATTAGTTTAAGTTCGTAGATCAGCCATTTTCGTTTTGACCCTGGAGTACTTGCCCTAAGAAAAACCTCAAAAAATTGACACTTTTGTATGGGAGGTCAACCGTAAATCGACTCCGATTGACTTTAAACTTTCTGAGATTTCATTTTTGGAGAAAAGATAATATTCTGAAAATTTCATGTTGATCGCACTCCTGATACTCTTCGTCGAAAGAAATTAATATTTTTAACCATTCATGCAAACATATCGTAAACCATCCAAATTGTAACATAGTTCTAATTGTAACATAGTCTTAAAATAAACCACTTTTCTGAAAAAATACAAATAAGTCATATATTCATATCGGAAGTTTTTGTCGTGATCTTCTCAAATATGATATAAAAAACAACAGTTACCCTTCAAAGTTTTGCAGAAAGTTTGTCTATTTGTTCAATTGTTACAATTTGGATGGTTTACGATACTCTACTTTTTCAAAAACCAATGTGTTAAATTGAAGTATTGGAAGCCGCCAAACGTAAAAACGATTAATTCTATTGATTATGTTTGCCTAATACTTAAAATTCAAATAAATTAATAATATTCACCCATTTGAACAAACATACTCGCCTTTTCCAACAACCAAAGTCGGAAAAACATACTCCTGTTTATTGGTATTCCAAACTAACAAAATACATACTCTTGTTTTACGCAAATTAAGGTTTTTGAAACATACTCGCCTCTAACATAGCTACAAGCAGTCAAAATACTTACTTATTTTCAAGTCGAAAGAAACTTGCTCTCTTTTTTCTTAAAACGAAATCACTGAAAAACGTACTCCACTTTTCAAAAACATAAATCCGAAAATAAACATACTCTACTCTCAATCTCACCCATAGATCTATGGGTGACATTGAGAGTATTGTATGTTTCACAGACTTTATATTGGAAAAATTATTTGTATTTGTATTTGTGTAGACTCTAGAGTGAACCAAATTCTTATTTCACTTGAAAGTGAACAAGAGCAACCAACACTGTTCAGTGTTCAACCACCAGATTGAAATTTAGATAATTTTTTATCATTTATTCTGTATTATTTATTTTCATTCTTGGATTTTGCCTACGGCAAACAAATCGCGTTCAAAATTAGCACGGATGCACGTTGAAGTCACAAAAATTTAAAGAAAAAATCCACTCTATACTAATACCTATATCGTAAGCAATTAAAAAGTCAAATAACCTGTGCTGTTTTTTTGACAGAATATTAATCGATGGTCTAACAAAGCAACAATATTGGTTTGTATGGTCATAGATTGACAAAAAAAATTAAAATTTATTCTACACTACAATCGAAAAGGGGAATCAAAGGAAATCATCCAATAATTCAGCTCAATTGGTTCAGCTATTCGTCACCTGAAAAATACACATCGATCAAAAATTCAATTCTCTTATTTTGTGAAAAAAAATGCAACATTACCATTGTTAGTGACCAATGCAATCTATCCCAATTGCTCTTCAATATTAACTTTGTTTCCTTTACCGATAAAAAGTTTGGCGACATCATCGTAACCTGAGCAATAATAATACAGATCAATGGAAAAGATCAAAGCGATTTCTTATTTAGTCAGCTTTACCATTATTAACAGCTATTTGAAGGGGTACAAGATTCGCATCATTTTTAATACCAGTATTGGCTCCTTTACGGATGAGAAGTTCAGCGATACTCCTATGACCTAAAAAGTAATTTAGATGGATGAAAAAGATCAAATCAATCTTCTTTTAGTAAAGACAAGTATCCAATTATTACCATTCTGAGCAGCCAAATGAAGAGGTGTATTATTCCAAAAATTTTTCATTTCATAATTAGCTCCTTTACTGAGTAGAAGTTCAGCAATATTCTTGCGACCTGAAAAATCATTTTGACCGATAAATAAGATCAAATCAGTCTTCTATTAGTAAAGACAAGTATCCAATTATTACCATTCTGAGCAGCTAAATG